TGACTATCCCTGTTCTGGGACAGCCCTCGAAGGTCCTTGTGATCCCTGTGTCATCCCAGGCCACGCATTTGCTGTGGGCTGAGGCAGGGCGGGTGTGGCCTCCACCAATCCGATCCCCATTAGCAGCTCAGCCGGCTCAGCCTCGGAGGAAATGCGACACTGATCCCTCTAAGCCCTGGCACAGATGGGACGGAGATGGGGTGGTGGTGAGATTAGCGGGCTGGGCCTCAGGATCCTGAGTGGGAACCCCCCAGTCACCTCTTAACCCCACCCAAGTTGAGGACAGCATTTCCAGGGGTGGAGGACCAGTAACCCTGTAGGCTCTAGGGTCATCAGATCAAGGGGTCAAACCCTAACACCATCACTACTACTTCCCTCTGTCATCCTCTGTCATCCTGGGCAAGTCACAGGTCCCATTTACCCTCAGTTTCTCCATCTGAGAAATGGAGATGATCTCCAGCTTTCAGGGTGGTTGTGGAAAGGCAATGAAAACAGCACAGGCTCAGGGCCTGGCACATGGTAGGGCTTCCAAAGCTGGGATCTGATGTGTCCTGAAACAGTGGTTTATGTACTGCTGATTGCTTTTGGAGCTCCCATAATAGACATTATCAACCAATCACAGAATTCTAGCTCGCTGAGCCCAGACAGGAATTCAGACTCCATCTCCCCATACACTCCATCTCCCCATACATCTCCCCATATCTTTAGTAGTGGGACAGAGACCTAGAGAGGCAACATGAGTGTCAGAGGATATACAGGAGGGTGGAGCCAGCAGCTGGCATATGGTGGCACCTAGTAAACATTTGTTGAGTTGAATGAGCAGACTCGGCCAACAAAGTGGGTTTATTTTTGTTTGTTTGTTTGTTTATTCGTTTTGGTTTGTTTATTTTTAAATTTATTTATTTATTTATTTTTGACTGCGCTGGGTCTCCATTGCTGTGCGCGGGCTTTCTCTAGTTGCAGCGAGCAGGGGCTGCTCTTCGTTGCAGTGCGCGGGCTTCTCATTGCAGTGGCTTCTCTTGTTGCAGAGCGTGGGCTCTAGGTGCACGGGCTTCAGTAGTGTGGCGCACGGGCTCCGTTGCTCCGCGGCATGAAGGATCTTCCTGGACCAGGGCTCGAACCCATGTCCCCTGCATTGGCAGGCGGATTCTTAACCACCGCGCCACCAGGGAAGCCCCCAAAGTGGGTTTAAATGTAGTGTTGCCCGGGGCTTGGCAAAGAGTGGGTGCTCAGCTTTGCTTTGCTTTGTTATTATTATTTTTTTTAATCGGCCTTTTCATTGAGAGTGGGCTCTAGAGTCTAAACCCTGAATTGGAATTCTTGGTCCACTTTTTACATGCTACCCAAACTTGTGCAAATCCCTCCTCCTTCAATGAGACTCAGTTTTCTCATCTGTTAAATAAGAATAGAGTCCCATAACATTCAGTTTTGGGAGAATTGCCTGGAAATTTTCACATAAAGAATTTTGGCTGGCCCATAGCAGGCCCTCAATACATGGCCACGTTGTTCGTAAAGTATTAATGTTACAAGACCAGCATGCAGATGTGTGGAAGGTACATTACCGCTATATTTCAGGCACCTGTGGCAGACATTGCTAATCAACCCAGTTTGTGTTCCTGGTGAGCCTGGATGTGGCTTCAGAATAATCCTCCAGGGAATTCCCCCCCCTGCCCCCACACGATGGTCCAGAGGTTAGGATTCCGCACTCTCACTGCCGAGGGCCTGGGTTCAATCCCTGATCTGGGAACGAAGATCCCATAAGCCACACGGCGTGGCCAAAAATGGAAGAAAAAAAGAAGAATCCTCCAGGCAGCTCCCCCAGACAGCCACTCCCAGCCAAATGGAGCTGCAGGGGAGCTGACCCTCTGTACTATCCTTTAAATAAGAATAAATGACAAGGAAACAGAAGCCCAAAGAAGAGCTAAGATTGTCGCTGAAGACATACAGCTATGTGGTGGCAGAGCTGCCCCCAGTGTATTGGCCAGTCATTAAAAACGGCTCTGAAGTCCAACATATCCAGGTTTGAAATCAATTTCCCCATTTATATCACCCAACGTCTCTGAGCTATTTCCCTGGTACCTGATACGGTAGGTGTCAATGGAGCAGGATGATTATTAATAGCAGCATTATGAGGCAGGGCTTTTCTTGTGGACAAGACAAGCCCACTTCCACTTCTCATGACTGCCTGTGTCAGACATCGCTAACTGATCCCAGAATGCCTTCCAGCTGTCCCCACAATTGGCTTTAGATGGGTCTCTGGTCACTATGCTGGTGATTTGGAGTTTTCAACAAAGTGGAGCAGAGGTCGTAACATAAAGACTGTTAAGTAGCATACCTGAGGACACACGGCTGGGAAGTGTTAGAGCCAGCACTAGTCTTGGTTGGCAATGAAAGTTGGAAATACAGATGCCCAATCAGGAAAGCTCGTGCGCAAATCCCTGTTTCACCATTTATGGGCTGCATGATCTTTGGTAATTTTTCAAACATCTCTGAACCTCACTTTCCTCATCTGTTGTCTTACTCAGCTCAGGCTGACTAAAATACCATAAACTGGGTAGCTTAAACAACAGACACGTATTTCTCATAGCTCTGGAGGCTGAGAAGTCCAAGATCAAGGTGTGGGCTGATTCGGCTCCTGGTGAGGGCCGGCTTCCTGGTTGGTAGACAGCTGTGTCATCACTGTCTTTTTATGGTGGAGAGAGAGAGATCATCTCTCTCCCGTCCCTTTTTATAAGACTCCACCCTCATGACCTAATAACCTTCCAAAGGCCCCACCTCCAAATACCACTGCACTGGAGAGCAGGGTTTCAAGATATGAATTTGGAGGGGCACAAGTATTTAGTCCATAGCATCTCTTAAGCAGGGGTAATAAAACCCTCCTCATTTCAGAGTGGTGAAAAAGAAAAGAAACATTCCCTGTAGAGGGCCTTGCACTGTGCCTGGCACATAGTATGTGCAATATTTGGGAACAATTATGGCATTGAATTTTGGGGCAGGGATGGCTGAAGTGATGTGTACCTGCTGGCTCTTTCTAATTCTGTGGCCACAACAGATACTGCTCATCAATCACAGTCATCTTTACTGCTGAAACTGAATATAGCTTTAAATCCTTCTTAATTCATCCATCTAGGAAGACTCTACCAATCTATTTGGGTTTCTAGGTAAGGGCAACCTATTCACCAACTGTGACATAGGAGAAGACCTAAGGAAATGCTGGCTACTTTCCCTTCCCGTGCCCATGACAGACAATACCAATCAATCCCAGCCCTCTTTCGTTCTGAGCCCAGACATGGCTTTAAAATTCTTCTCTACATGGCCCTTAAGATAGCCATTACTAATTGTTTTGAATTTTCGGCAGAGTGAACCAGAGGCCCCAGGAGGATAAGGAGCATATCCAAGGACACACAGCGAAGAGTTATCAGAGCTGGTACCTGCCTGGTTGACTGTCATAGAGAATGGTAGAGTGGTCTTCAGGTCTAGACAGGTCTGCATTTGCATTCCAGTGCCACCACTGATATGCTGTGTGACTTCAACAAGTTCCTTAACATCTCGGAGCCTCAAATTCCTTATTTGTCATAGCATAATAAACTTCTGCCTGAGCCTCTGTGTGAATTAAATTTTAAAAAAGCATATCTTCCTGAATATAGAGGTTAAAAATCCTAAACAAAGAACCATAAAAAATTTGGCAAATCAAACAATGTATATAAATAAAACTGCAACGTGACCAAGTTTAGTGTAGCTTAGGAAAGTTGACTTAATATTGGAAAATCAATTAATGTAAGTTATTACATGAACATATTAAAGCAGGCTTCTCCGGTGGTGCAGTGGTTAAGAATCCGCCTGTCAATGCAAGGGACACAGGTTTGATCCCTGATCCGGGAAGATCCCACATGCTGCAGAGCAACTAAGCCCATGCACCACAACTACTGAGCCTGCGCTCTAGAGTCCTCAAGTCACAACTACTGAGCCCGCATGCTGCAACTACTGAAGCCGCGTGCCTAGAGCCTGTGCTTCACAACAAGAGAAGCCACCACAATAAGAAGCCCGCACACCGCAACCAAGAGTAGCCCCTGCTCGCCACAACTAGAGAAAGCTGCACACAGCAACGAAGACCCAACGCAGCCATAAATTAATTAATTAATTAATTAATTTTTAAAAATAAAAAGCCCTCTTCCCTATCTGTTAAAAAAAATATTGAAGCAAAAAATCATCTCAATAGATACAGAAAAAGATATTCAATAAAATTCAATATCCATTCCTTAAAAGAATATCTTGTTAAGATACTAGGAATAAAATTAAACATTCTTAACTTGATAAAGGCCATCTGCCAAAAAACCTATAGTAAAGATCATATTTAGCTGTGAAATGTTTAAAACATTTCCTTTAATGTCAAGAATAAAGAAGCCAATGTCACAATGTAGCCCCTGCAACAAGACAAGAAAATAAATAACAGGTATAGACTGGAGATAAAGAAATAAAACTGTCATTATATTTGCAGGTGTTATTATGATATACATAAAAAAACCAAAATGGCTCAGTGGAAAACCTGTGGGGGTAAATTATGCATGAAGCAAAAGAAATATTAACACATTTGGGACAGGAATTACATTTGGTGGGAAGAGCAAAGTACATGGTCAGGGTTGGGACTATGAGGGCTTCAAAGCTAATAAAAATGTTGTAATTCTTACTCTGAATACAAAGTATTAATTTCATTATTCTAAAAATGCAGACTGGCTTTAGACAAACAGGCAAGCATACGTGCAAATGGGCATACGTGGCATTAATATATGGACTTTTTCAGAGTAAAATCACCTGTAAAGTATTTTGCCCAGTGCTCAAGAAGTGGAAGGGACTATAAGAATAATACCTTATCCCCTCTGCATGTTCAAGCCTATGCAGACCTGATTGATCTGTCACCACCAAGCCCCTCCTCACTCCCACTGGTCCCTGGTGTGGGAACTGGGCCGTGAGTGGGTGCGGCCTGTTGTCTCCAGCAGATACTCGGGGCCATGGAGTCTCAGGTGGCGGGGGGCCCGGCTGGCCCGGCCCTGCCCAACGGGCCACTCCTTGGTACAAACGGAGCCAGTGATGACAGCAAGACCAACCTCATTGTCAACTACCTGCCCCAGAACATGACCCAGGATGAGTTCAAGAGTCTCTTCGGCAGCATTGGTGACATTGAGTCCTGCAAGTTGGTTCGGGACAAGATCACAGGTGTGGCTGCTGGCATGTGGGGGGTGGGGATGGGGACAGAGGTGGTAGCCTCAGGAGTACAGGTGTGGTGTAGAGACAGGTGTGACCCCAGGTGGGAGGTGATGGGAGCAGGTGGGACCCTGGGGGGTCTGAGCTGTCCTCAGGATATGGTAGTACTCTGGGGGAACAAATAAGGGTGGAATCTTGGTTCTCATAACCTTGAGTGGGGTGGTCAGTCTCTCATGCCGGGGTCTGGGAGGACACTGGCAGGTCCAGGGAGGTCATTGTCCTGGTCCTGCCTGCAGGGCAGAGCCTCGGCTACGGGTTTGTGAACTACTCTGACCCCAACGATGCAGACAAAGCCATCAACACCCTCAACGGCCTCAAACTGCAGACGAAGACCATCAAGGTCAGCGCCCTCGTTCCCCACTGCCACCCATCCCTGTGACTTCCCATCTTGGCTGTGCCCATTTCCTCTTTATTACCGCCCACCTGGACTGACCCTTTCACGGCCACCCAGCCCCCTCACGACCATACCCTCCCCATACATCCATTCCCCCCACTGCTGCCCATCCTCCCCCATGGCTCATCCCCTAAGGGGTTCAAATCGATCCCCAAAGGCTTTCTGGCTGGGGCCCCGGGGCCAATGGCTCTGCCTCTCTGAACCTGTTTCCTCTCTTGTCAATGTGGAGATGATCAGCCCCACATTCTCCGGAAACTCAAGGAGTCAGCCAGGCCCTGGAGGTACCCACCCCCTCAGCAGTAGGAGAGAGTGACCAGGGTCTGGTGGGCAGCCCTCTCCTTGCCTTTGTCATGGAAATGGGGGAGAGGTGGGGGCCCATCTGCCGTCTGGAGCCTAACTAGGGTCTGGGAGGGTGGGATTAGGGGTGGGCCCTTCCCCCACCTTTGTACAATGCCCCTCACCCCATGACCTCCCCTCTCAGCAGCTGCAGCTGGGACCCTGCAAGCCCAGGTTCCCGGGAGGCCGTGGGGGTTGCAGGGAATCACCATGGAAACCCCCTCTCTAGGTTTGCCTGTGGGTGTCTGGGCTCCACCCCACAAATCTGCTCCTGAACCCTGGGGGAGGCTGGGCTGGGGAGGATGCCCATCTGGCCCCCAGTTCGCCATGGGAACAGAGGTGCCGGAATCTCTTCCTCTCCCTGCTGCGGAGGCTTACAAGGGCCTGATGGGTCCCTCCATGGCCAAGTAGACCCAGAAGCCCCCAGGTTGTGAGAGTGGACCCTAGTGATGAACTGTATGACCCAGAGGGCCACTGTGTGCGTATGATGTGGTGCATGTGTTGGGGGGGGACCCTGAGCTATAAGACATGGTGTTTCTGGGACCCCGTGGCTATGGGACCCCATGGCTATGTGAGTGGCTGTTATCATGTGGGTCTGGCTGTTATAGACGAGGGTGTGTCACCTTGTGTCTGTGAGACGTGGTGTTTATTTGACAGGTGCTTTGTGATGCACTGCGACTCCAGCTGTGACCTGGTGAGGCTGCGTGGGTGTGTCTGGCTGTGACAGGGTGTTTGTGTGTTACGGTGAAGTTGTGTGGGTGTGTCTACTTGTGCCCCATTCAGGATGGAACGTGTGTGACATTGAGGGCTTGTGTGGTGGTGTGACAGGTGTGTGGTTCTGCGACTCTTACTGCAATTATCCCAGACCCCCAGAGTCACCGTGAATGTGGCGGTGGCCTTGTGTCACCCTCCTGCTGGTGTAGTCACCATAGCTGTGCAGTGAATACCAGAGCGTGGCCCTCTGTGTGGGTGTATGTGCGTGTATGTGCATCTGCCTGGGTGGCTGTGGTGTGTGGTTGGTCCTGACTAGGTGTTCCAGCAGATTCTGCCCACAATAGTTCCAGCCATTCATCGTGTGCCAGGCGCCATCCTAGTGAGGGGGTGTGGGAGGAGCCCATACCAGGTGAGGGACCTGGGTCAGCCCATGTCATGGAAGGATGGGAAAGGCCCCTGAACACTTACTCTGTGCCTCAGATGACCCCTGACCCCAAAACCCACCCAGGAACTGAGACTCCCCTCTCCCCCAGCTCCAATCCATCAACAAGTCCTCACCCCTCAAAACTCACAGCCCCACGGGGTAGGGAAGAGTGGAAACCATCAAATACATGGCCATGAGTTTTAATTATTATTACAGAAATAATAGCAGCTGTGGTGTTTGTCTTTTTTCTGGAGGATCCCAGGTGTGCACAATTGCATCAGTTAGAATCCCCCTGCCCCCACTCCATGAACACCCTCACCCCCATCCACCCTTGGCCCAATTTATTGATTTTGTTCGTTTTTTAATTAGCTATTTCTAATGAAGTAATATGCCCTCACAACTCACCACCCCAAACAAAAGCCAGACCCTTTACAATGACCCCCATCTACCCAGAGGTTAATTTAGAAGAAACAGAAAATAGACATCAGCAGAAATAAGGGGGAACGGAGCTTATCCCACCTCGCCTCCCCCACCAGCTCTAGGTCACCCTGTTAGCGTTTAGGGGTGGGCCCTCCAGACCATGTTTCCAGGACATTGATAAACACACAATGAGATGGGGTCACACAATACTCGCTGCTCTGTAAATGGACTTTTCTTTCCCCCACTTTACAATACTCACCACTGTTTCGGGGAAATAAATATACACGTCCACCATTTTTTAAACAGCTGCAGAGAGTTTCATTGTTGGGCTGGACCATAATTAATGACATGAATCGAAGGATCATACTAAAACGTGTCTAATTCACAGCTGAGGGAAGGGCTTTGACAGAGAGTAACAGGGATAAGGGTGGAGGACCAAATTCAGATGGGAAAGGACAGGAAGGATATCGCAACTGAGACCTGGAGAAGAAAAATAAGGAAGAGAGTTGCAAGCACAGCGGACAGCAAGTGCAAAGGCCCTGAGGATGAAGCACACCCAGTGTGTCTGGGGAATGTGGGAGAGGCCCATGTGCCTGGAATAGAGATGTGGAGGGGGACAGTGGGCAGAGATGAGGGTAGGGGGGTGACGGGGCAGGTCGTGAAGGGCCTTGTGGCCCTGAGAAGCACTTTAACTCAGGAAGGTGGGAGCCACGGAGGGTTCTAAGCAGAGGAGGGATGTGACCTGGCTGAGAAGCTCACAGGTGCCCCCTGGCTGCTGTGGGGGAAACAGCCTGGGGGGGGGGGCGAGGGTGGAGCAGGGAACCAGGGCAGAGACTGCTGCACTGGTCTGGGTGAGCAATGGTAGGGCAGTGGAAATGGGGAGAAGTGTGTGAATTCTATCCAGATAATGAGGAAGGTGGAGCTGACAGGATGGATGGTGGTTGGATGCGGGTGTGACAGACAGGCATTGAGGACAACCCGAGACTGGGGACCTGAGCAGCCAGGAGGACAGAACTGTCATTACTGAGTTAGGGCAAGTCGGGGGTGCTGAGTGTGATCCCCCATGAGGCCTCCTCGTGGGGTACCTGAAGGCATGTGTCACGCAGGTGTGCAGCTCAGGGGCCAGGCCCATGCTGGGCTCGGACATTTGGGAGTTGTCGGGGTTGAGCTGGGCGCTAAAGATCTGAGGGGCCCAGTGTAGTCGGGAAGAGAAGGGGCCAGCATCCCAGGTTCACTTTCCAAGAGAGTGGGACGTGTCAACGTTGATGGAATATCCAGCCTGAGAACATGAGCTAGAGATGTGAGGGTCCCTGAGGCCCCCAGGGAGACATGTGACCCCAAGGGCGCAGCTCCTTTGACGTCCTCGGATGACAGGTCCCTCTCACCGCTCTACGCGGGCAGGACCACGCTGTCTTGGTCACAGCCACACCCCCTCCCCCAAGCCCTGGTTGACCCCACCCACCACCCATGGTGACTACTCGAGGTATTTGTTGAATAAACGGATGAGGGATTTCTGTTGCTCGGTGGCGGTTTGAATGTGGCCTCTCCCTCCCCATTTGAAATGGGTCTTGCCCTCACCCCTGTCCGCCTGACACCCTCCCCCAGGTGTCCTATGCCAGACCCAGCTCCGCCTCCATCCGGGATGCGAACCTGTACGTCAGCGGGCTCCCTAAGACCATGAGCCAGAAAGAGATGGAGCAGCTGTTCTCCCAGTACGGCCGCATCATCACTTCTCGCATCCTGGTGGACCAGGTCACAGGTCAGGCTGCCGGGGAGAGTGCCCCTGGCGGGGGCTGGGGGGAGTGGGGGGGCACTGGGCTAAGGCACCCAGGTGGGACCAGAGTGGAGAAACCGGAAATAGCAGCGAGGAGGGGGGCGGGGTCACGCAGGAGGGGGCGGGTCCCCAGGGGGGGGCGGGTCCCCATGACGCCCTCGCGCCTCGGCAGGTGTCTCTCGGGGTGTGGGATTCATCCGCTTTGACAAGAGGATTGAGGCCGAGGAGGCTATCAAAGGACTGAACGGGCAGAAGCCGCTAGGTGCGGCCGAGCCCATCACGGTCAAGTTTGCCAACAACCCGAGTCAGAAGACCGGGCAGGCCCTGCTCACTCACCTCTACCAGTCCTCCGCCAGGCGCTACGCAGGCCCCCTGCACCATCAGACACAGCGCTTCCGGTGAGCCCCCTGCTGCTCCCTGCCCTCCAGACGTCCCAGACCCCCAGGGCCGGGTGCCCTAGGCTTGCAGGTGCCCTCGCCGAACCCCATTCCTGCAGGGCGGAGAGAAACAAGGGCAAAAGGGGAAACGTGGGGGTCTGTCAGGTGCTGAGGCCAGACCCTTGTATACAGCAGGCGCTCAATGTGTGCAGGCCACTAGGAGTGGCATTATTGGTGTCCGTAGTTTTAGAATCACCTGACCAGGCCCAGCTCTGACTGCCAACCCACCCCCTCCCCCACCCCGCCAAGGGCACGTGGCTTCAGCTCCCTGCTGGCCAGGCACCCTTACTTTTTCTGCGCAGCGACCCCGTGAGGACAGAACTTGTCCTCATTTTACGGACGGGGACCCTTAGGCTCAGAAAGGCGTTGTCACTTGCCTGGCCCAGGCACTTTGGAGAAGAGACTTCCCTTCTCGGGACCCAAGCCCCGGATTGGGGGCTGGGGGGGGACAGGCGAGCAGGGCTGGGTGGCCGGGAGGGGGAGGACGGGGACCCCAGTGCAGGCTGGGCAGCAGCAGGGCAGGCAAGAGGCGGTGCCTGAGTGACCACGGTTCCGTGCCAGGCGGTGTCCAGCCTGCCGGGGAGCAGGCAGGCGGGGGCAGGGCTGGCACTGCTGGATGGCTGGGTGGGGGCGGGGAGGGCAGGCTGGCTGCCCGGTGTCACAGCCGGGGGTGTGCCCAGAAGCCACCAGTGACCACCCCTTCTGCCTCCACAGGCTGGACAATTTGCTCAACATGGCCTACGGAGTCAAGAGGTAACAGTGCCCCCGCCCCGCTGCCCCCAGCCCCTCGCCATCCCTCCTTGGACCCTTTTGCCCTTATGGCCCCCATCCCCCACCTCACCCCCCAGGACCACCCCTGTCTGGGCATAGTGCGGCCATTGAGAGATCTGGGGGCTCTTGAGCCTACTGAATGCCTGGAAAGTGCCACTACAGAATCTGGATCTGGGGGGCCTGTCTGTGGCCTCCTCCACCCCATTGAAAGGCAGGCAGTGTTGCCCGGGTCACAGCTGTGCCCCCACTGGCCACTGTTGATCATCTATGCTGAGGGTCACAGAATGCCCCCTTCTGCCTCATAGCTGCGGGTGGACCTTGAGGCCCCCCACCCGCTCCATTTTCCACATCCCTGAGCCTCTGAAGGTTCCCATGTTTATAGCATCAAGAGCTATTGAGCACATGCTGAGGGCCAGGAGCTTGGCTCTGAGCTGGGGACCCAGTGTGGCCTGGCCAGACTTGGCCCCTGGTGGAGATGGAATGATACTGAGCATGGTGCTTGGCACGGAGTGCAGGCTCACTCAGTTTAAAAGGCAGTGTCTCTTATGATTATGGTTACTGTTATTACTTATTTCAGTCCACTGGGGAAGGAGACAGATGAACCATGATCTGGGCTGTGAAGGGGGCAGGAGACGGGGTGGTAAGAATCCAGTGGAGACATCACTCAGGAGACAGGGCCAGAGCAGAACTGGAGTACCTGGCAGCAAGAACGGCTTGTGCAAAGGCCAGGAGGAGGGAGTGAGCCCAGTGATCAAATGAATGGCCCAGGAAGGCAGGGAGCCAATGCCCCTTCACTCATTCGTTCACTCCACAGACTCCACCCCCACCCCCCAAGGGCCTGCTGGTGCTGGGAGCTGTTCTGGGCTGGGACACCGAGGGAATAGAACCTTGCAGGGAAGATGGAGCTGAGGATAAATACATGATTTAAATAGAAAAAGGCATGGGGACTTCCCGGGTGGTCCAATGGTTAGGGCTCTGAGCTTCCACTACAGGGGGCACGGGTTCGATCCCTGGTCAGGGAATTAAGATCCCACATGCCACATGGTGAGGCCAAAAAATACATACATACATACATACATAGGAAAAGGCCAGAGAGGGCCAGAGGGAGGAGGTGGCCACTTTATGAGTCAAAGGAGGCCACCCCGGGGAAGTGACAGCTGAGCTGAGACCTGAATAACGAGAGGGGGCGTTTAAAGGCCTCGCTCGCACCCTGGTTCCAGCGCTGCCCTTCCGGGTGGGCCTCCACCTGGCAGGATGGCCAGTGGGGCAAAAGGGGCAGCATTGCAAAGGGCAGGATCAGGGTGGTGCCCGAGTGGGGGTGAGGGCAGGAGTTGGATGGGAAGAGGCGTCAAGGGAAGGGTGGTGGCCAGGTGTGGGGAGGGGGTCAGTGTCAACAGGGCTGAGGACCAGGTAGGGTCCAAGGTCAGGGAGTTGGGGTGGATAGGGGCTCAGGGCAAGATCGCAGGTGAGGACCTAACGTTCAGGGAGGGTCAGAGGTCAGGACCGGGCTCCAGGTCAGGATGGAGATTGGGGGCTGGTGTATCAGAGTGGCTCAGAGTCTGGGGCTTAAGGCGGGGTCACAGATGGAGGTCACGGGGCCAAGGCAGGGGTCACATAGTCCCGAGGTCTCCGCACGGCCAGAGGTCATGACAGGGTCAGGGGGCATGCCGGGGGTAAGGGCAGAGCCCGCGTGACCCCCAAAGTAGTCCCCTGTCGCTCATCGCCAGGTTCTCACCCATCGCCATCGACGGCATGAGCGGCCTCGCGGGCGTGGGCCTGTCGGGGGGCGCAGCAGGCGCTGGCTGGTGCATCTTCGTGTACAACCTGTCTCCGGAGGCGGATGAGAGTGTGCTGTGGCAGCTGTTCGGGCCCTTCGGGGCAGTCACCAATGTCAAGGTCATCCGCGACTTTACCACCAACAAGTGCAAGGGCTTCGGCTTCGTCACCATGACCAACTATGACGAGGCGGCCATGGCCATCGCCAGCCTCAACGGCTACCGCCTGGGCGAGCGCGTGCTGCAGGTGTCCTTCAAGACCAGCAAACAGCACAAGGCCTGAGCCACCGCCGCCCTCCCCACCCTTCCCGGGCAGCAGAGACAGAGAGAGAGAGAGAGAGAGAGAGATTGAGAGAGAGAGAGAGAGACAGGGGCCCGAGAGAGACAGCGCAGGCAGACCACGGACGGCACGAGGGCCCCGTGTCCCTGCAGAAGCCACAGGGTGAGCACTCGGTGGGAGGGTCTGCAGGGAATGGGAGGGCTCCTGGGGGTCCCCCACCCCATCCTCCTGCCCCTCCCCCCCAGGCTGGGCTGTTCACTCTCTCGTCTTGGTTTTGTTCATGGTGAAGGTTTTTGTTTCCTTTTTCGGCTAACGTGAAAGCAGAGATGTGCCCCCAGCACACCCTCAACCACCCTCCGTGGATGGCTTGGGGAAGGGGTGCTGCGGGTTCCCTCCCAGGCCCCCTTGCCCAGGCCTCCCCAACACCTAGGTGAGCCTGAGAGGGGGGAACAGGTTTAAAAATCCCCAAAAAAGCGAAACGTGAGAGGGGTGTGGGCATCCCTGGCCCAGAGCCCCTTGGTGGAATGTGAGGGGCAGGGGGAGGGGCTGGAAACAGAAACACAATGAAAAACAGGGGGGGTGGGAGGGGAAGAAAAACTCTATTTTTGTAAAAAGGGAAAAAAGACCGTGGAGAATTTTTACTGGGGATTCTTGAACTTGAAAAAAAAAAACACAAAAAAAGACAAAAAAAAAAAAAGAAAATATTTTGGCAGGTTATGTTTACCAACTGGGGCAGGGACACAGGGAGCAGGGCTTAGGAGCTGAGGGTCCATGGGGCCACACAGAGAAACACAGCCACGCAAAGACACACAGGGACACACACACACACACACACACACACACACCCCGCAGGGATACACAGCAGCACAGACGGACCCAGAGACACGCCTCAGGAACTCCCTGGCCCAATTCAGACACGTAGACAAACACATGTATCAACAACAGAAGACTGAAGTATGGGGCTGTGTAAATGTGGCCATGGTGGACGTGGGCAGATGCGGCCATGGGCAGATGTGGACACTGGTGAATGTGGCCGGGGACAAATGTAGACACGTGCACACGTGGACATGGGAACATTTCCACACATGCCTGCGGCCACATGGAAGTGGGGACAGTTACATTTGGACACACAAATCTAGACACCCAGTCATGGAGAAACATAGTCACAATACCCAAAGACACACAGACATGCCCACAGCATCCCTCAAGCCCAGGCGAGAGGTCACAGCCCAGACCCCAGCCCAGTCCATAGCCCACTTCCTCCAGCGAGGCCGGCCCGCCCCTCCTCCTGGCACTCAGCCCCACTCGCCCCTGCCCCAGGTTCTCTGCAGAGCTCTCTCCTGGCTCCTCAATGGTCCCTGCCGCCCACGAACACAGGCGTGAACACACAGCGTCCATGCATCCAGACACACGATACCTCGTTGTCCTTTTGGCATCATGGTGGGCTGGAGGCAGCCCACCCAACGCTTGAGGCCAAAGGACCCCCATCCCTGGGGCTGAGCCTCCCTGGGCCGAGGCCCTGGCCCACGAGGCCGAGGGGGAGGCCAGGCCCTGAGCCTCTCCACTCCAGAGCCTCCTCAGCAGCAAGTGCCCCGACACTCCCCGCCAGGCCCAGGGTGGATGGGCCCAGGGGCCCAGCCCTGCATTCCCTTTCCGTCCACTCGTCACCCCCTTTCAGTTTGTTGGGTTTTTCCGTCTTTCCAGATCAGTGAGGGCAGTGGACGCAGCCCCAATCCCGAGCCCCGGCCTTGGCTTCTGTCTGGACTTTCCATCCCCCTAGTTTTCACTCTTTGTAAAAAACAAACACAAATCCAATAGAAGCCAAAAGCCGGAGCCCCCTGGGAGCCCTTGAAGCCCCCACCCCCCGCAGAGGGCCCAGTCAGAACTGAGAATGGCAAACCCCGATTTTAGCCTCAGTGCCCTTTCTGTGGTGTCCCTGCATTTGGTGTCTGGCCATGGCCCCATCTGACTGCCCAGCTCTCTCTCCCCCACCCCTCCCGGTGTTGTTATTAAACGTCTGTGGAGCTTCTGCTGCAAGGAACAAAAAGAAAAAAAAAAATCAAAAAAGCGACAAAAAAACACAAACAGAAGAGAAAAAAAGCGACAAAAAAAAAAGGAAGAGGAAAAAAAAAACAAAACCACACACAAAGAAGAGATTTAAAAAAAAAAAAAGGAAAAAAAAAACAAAAAAAACAAAACAGACATAAACTGGCACCAGTTAACTTTCTTGTACTTTTTTGCCGAATTGAGCTTCTTGTAGTTTTAACTTATTGCTATGTTAACTATTTATCCTCCTTGTTGCCCTGTAAGGACATTTGTGTATATTTCTGTTCCTTCATCCAGTTTGCAAGTTTAAAGGAACCACGATGTTCTCTTTGTTTCTTTAAGTTTTGCCGAGACGTGGTTATGCCTAATTTATTTATAAAAGGGGAAGTGGAATCATTAAAGTAATAATAATTATTAATAACAGTAATGGTAGCCGAGCGGCGCCCTGGGGGACCTGTGCTCTGCAGGGCGGTCCCCACGGCCAGCGACGTCCGGGGGTCTTAATGGGATTATTTTTGCTCGTCTTGAGAATTTTTTCAGTCCTATTTAGCTGGTGAAACCCTAGCTTGTTCTTGATACACAAACCTATTTATTCTTGTGGTTTTTAAGTCCTCCCCAACCTCCCCGCTCCCCTCCAGCAGGGCAGGCCCCGCAGCGGGTCCATCCGTCTCCCTGTTTTCTTGGGGCTTTTTCTCCCCTCTGCACTCCGTGCGGTGACACGTGTCCACACGTGGGCAGCGTGGCGGAGGCATCTGTGAGCAATAAGGGCTGGGTTTGTCCCTCACCCTGGGGGGGGGGGCCGGGCTCTGGAGAGGGGGCACCTCCCCATACCCCCTCACAGAGGCCTGAGCCCCTGCCACCCCCAAGACTGGGAGGGGACTCCTTTTTCTAAAACACAGAACTCAGCCCAGCCAGCCAGGCCCCCTTCCTGGAGGCCAGCCCCTCACCCCAGGGGAGGGGGCCTGGGGTCTTCCACATCCCTGGGAGGCAGGGGCAGGGCCCATGGGGAAGGGGCTCAGCCCCTCCAGCCCTCCCTTCATCCTGTTATTTATTTGGATGGTTTCAAATCAAGACAGAGTCCATGTTGGAGGTGATAAAGAACTGTTTAAAAAAAAAAAAAAAAAAAACTGCCATATCTAATTCTCCCCTTAAGTAGTGACTTTATCCATCAGATATTTATTTTGTGTACAGATTTTCTTACAATTTTTACATTAAAAATAGCTTTTCAAAAGTGAGAAACCTCTAATATTTATTTTACTCATAGTTGATACAGTATAAATGCAATGAAAGTGTATTCTTGATTACTTTAATGCTATGATAATGTTTTCTGAAGGCAAGTGGGGCACCACAGTCTAAATTATTATATTTTTACAGTAGGGCACAGAGATTTCAAGGCAACATGAGAGCAACTAACATCAGATATGTCTTCTCTTGCCCTGATAAATGAAAAAAAATGTGTAAAAAAAAAAAAAAAAAAAAAACAAAAAAAAAAAAACCAAACCCAAAACCCAACAACAAAAACACTTTGCGTTGAGTTTAGACACTATTTATTACCGGGATTACAGGCCTGGCCGCGGTAACAGACTTTTACATGGAATTGTTTAATTATTTGTACTTTTCATGCCAGAAAATAAAAGTTCAGAATCTTACGGCCTCAGATATATGTACAACGGCGTGCGGGGAGTGTTGGAGCACGTGTCAACAGCCCCGCTGTTTGGCTGAGTGCAAGCTGCTGTCCCTCTCTGGGCCTGAATCTCACCTGGAGCCTCTTGGCCTTCCCACAGCACTCTCGTGATTAGCGGGTGGGAGACAAGTCCAGGCGGAAACCCAGACAGAAGTGGCCCAGGGGCCGTCTGTCGAGTGGCGCCAGGCTGTGCTGTCCAAGGGGCATCTCAGGTGAGACCCCCAACTGTGGAGCCAGCCTGATGGGGAAGGAGGCCCGCACAGAATCTGCAGAGCCGCTTCCCCTTGCATTTAGCCCTCTCGCACCCCTGGCTGATTCCACACCCGAGCACAGACAGACAGATGAGTTGGGGAGATCACGTTTATTGTTTGGAGGTCACAGGTCAAGTCACTCTTCCGCACCAGGAGGGGAGACAGATGCCCTGGGTGGGGGACAGGGTTGGGTGGGGGGGGCCACCAGGGCGGGGGTCCAGGGAGGGCAGACTCCTTTATTCTACCTGTAGAGGCACCTGGGGCCGGGAACCGTGGCTCTGCCCCGCCTGCCCCCAGAGCAGGGCATGGAGCCCCATCCGGTTCCTGCCCGCTGGGGAGGGCAAGGAGACCCAGAGGGGCAAGCCTTGGTCTACAGACTGAGGGGCAGGCGGGCGGCACCTCTGGGGCCTGGTTCCACGTCTTGAGGTTCTGGGGTCGCAGAGAAACCAAATGAGATACAGATGGAGGGAGATGGGTGGGGGGAGCATCAATGCGACCTAGACCACCCCCTGCATCCCCCAGCCGAGGCGGTAGGGGTCTCACCTCCCCACCCACCTCTGGGCCGGGCCGGGTGGGGCAGGGCAGGGCTAGAGCTCATCGTGGTTGCCCGAGGCAGGCGCTTCCGGTGGTGGCTCTGGGCAGGCGGCCGGTGTCATCAGCTCCATGAGGTACTCGCAGCGGCTGGGCTCCGTGGTGCTAGTCACCACTGTCTCCTTCCCACACAGCAGGCGCACCTGGGGCGGGTGGCAGGCAGGCGGGGCTTGGGCAGGCTCGGTGGGCCTGGGTCCCCCGTAGCAGCCCCACCCACCGGGCACTCACAGTAGTGGAGCGGTTGGGGCCCTGCCAGCAGCCCGTGCCCTGCTCATACTTCATGGCGCTGAACTTGTCGTGGTCGGGGCCAGCCCACGAGCCCCAGGTGCTGTGGGAGAGTGGGGTGCTGAGCGGGGCCAGCCGGGGGGACCAGGGGCTGAGAGGGGGGCCCAGCCTGAGCCCACTCACCCGAGGCTGGTGGGGGAGCCACC